ACTTACTCTAAATATAAGGTTAAGAAAATATTCCTTGCCCCATCAAATGTTATTTTTATTTGGGGTGGATTGGAGGACTGATAGAGATTGGGGCTGTGAGCTCAAGACGCCCGCCTCAGCCATCCTTGGCCCTTCATCCTGGGATGATGGCAGGAACAGAGTCATTCTTCCCAGCAAGTAACTTGGAGGCTGTTTGGATGCGCCTTCTCGTTCCTGGGAATGAATTACTTCAGGTCTGACCCACTCGGAGTCTCTCGCAGTGAACCTCCCTCTTAGAAGCTGCTCTCATAAGCTGCCCAGCTGGCCTCCTCAGAGCTGCAACACCGCTTTCTCAGACAGCTACCCTTACAGAGACTTATTCAAAGATCCCTAGATTGGCCAGGGCAGGCATTCTGGGTAAGGGCACAAGGACACCCTCCTGCTTTCTCAGCTTCGCTGGGCCGAGCCTTAAGGCAGGACCCAGATCCACTGGGTTTTGGGTGAACGTTTTGTTTAGCGTGGTGGTTAAGAGCCTGTCTTGCAGTGAGACAAAAATGGGTTCGAGTCCTGCCTCTGCAAACTATCTGGAGAATGGGACAAATGAACCTGTCTCAACTAGTGGTGGTGGATTCAACGAGCTAACGTATGCAAGGATTAAGCACATTAAATCCTCAATCAGTGACAGTTCATTAACAAAATTAACCACAACTCTCTAAGAGTTTCCTCTGAGGAAAAAGCACTGCAGAAATAGTCCCTCTGGGTTAAGGTATCTAGGAAACGAGACAAAAATCTCTAGGTTCTTTTATTTATATTCTCCCCTTCCCTTTTCCTTCCCTCCCCCCATATTGGCCTGGGGACACAGCTACAAATTAAGTCCAATCTCAGTACTAGTTCTAAAAGCTCTATAACCTGAAATATAGAAAAACAGACATATTAGATGCTTAAAGAAAATTTAAAAGACAAAATGAAACACAATGTAAAGCTTTTCCTCCCCCCTTTTATTCTAGAAGTGTGTCCCTATTTGTCTCTAACTTTCACCAGTGGGTAGAGTGATAATAATGCTAATTGGCGTTATTAGTCAAGAGCTTTCTATGTGCCAGAGTCTTTTCCAAGCATTTTACTAAGATTATCTCATTGAACCCTTATGGGACTCCTAGGAGGTAGGTACCTTTCTTATTCTTTTTCGGAGATAAGAAAACTGGGGCTTAGAGATGATAACTAACTTACGGGGAGGCATACAGCAGCTCGCTGCGTGGAAGAACACCCCAACGGTTTGGGTTCCTGAAAGCATGGTGTCAGCCTCGTACAGGAGGGACATCCGTGGACTCCACCCTTCTTGTCCCTTATGGCTTCTAGGAACAGTGTGGAAAAGGTCAGTTTTCTTCTTAGTCCTATGTAGCTAGCAGGGAGCTTTCTGCATGTCCAGGGATATCTCTCTGTCCTCTGCCTCAACATACAGAGCTGTGCAGAAGGAGCTGGTCCGTGAGAACTTAGAGGCAGAGACTGTCAGGGCTCAGTTCAACCCTCTGACTTGATTCCTATTCATCTCCAAACCCTTCAGAGGCCACGACTGGGTCTCAGATACTCTTGCCTTCCCCAAAGGGGTGCATAGCAGAAGCAACTATTCTAGCTTTGCTACCCACATTTATTTACTTTTTTTCATCTCTTCAGTTCCCTCTTGGCAAGATTATTCCCAACAGGTATATCAGGAGGAAACCTTGACTAGATGATCTGCAAAGTTCCAACAACTCTGAAATTCTCTCATTCTGTTGTTCCATAATTTAATGTTCTATAAAAGATAAAGATATGCATCACAGGTGTTAAGGGCATCCAGAAACGTCACTGGATATTAGTGCTTTCTGGGAATCTCTTTTAGGCATTGACAGTTGGGGGTCACATTTCCACTAGGCTGAGGAGAAATCAGAAGGGAAATGACCTTGAGCTGACCTTGTGCGGGCCACTCTGTGGTCGGCTGAGAGCTCCTCTTTGACTGCTGCCATCGAGCCCAGCCCTGCAGGGTCCATGAAGAGTGGCTAAGGACCACCCTCAGAGGGTACATCGTGGGTAGAGCGCGAGCTTGGATATTAAACCCTCCAGGGTTCAACTCCCAGCTCTGCTACTGACTGGCAGCGTCACCTAACCTCTCTGCTTTCTCATCTGAAAAATGCAGGTAATGCCACCCTCTTCCCTGGGCTGTGGTAATGCCCATCTCATGGTAAGCAGTGCATCATCAGTAGCTGTTAATAATAGCATCACTAACTAGTCTAATTGCCCTTCCTGTTTTAAAGGCTCACAGCCTGTAATGCTGGGCTGGGGACCACTCTCACCGACATGGGGACTTTGAGTTTTGACTACCACCGATTCGCAAGAGCTAAACTAGGGGTAGTTATGGCTATCCCCACTGTCATTAAAAAAAATCAGATTTAATTTTGGAAATTTGAATGTATTTTTAATTTGAGCTGCCTGTTATTATCAGTGACAAAGAATTTTCTGACAGGTAAAGTTAACCAAAGATGGACTGGTTGCTTCAGTGGTGGGAGGGCTCATCACCATAGCAGGGGTGGCTGAAGGGTGGGGCAGAGGACCGCCTGGATGGAACGTATTAGAGGACATTGAAGGGCTGGTAATGGTTTTTGTTGATGACTTAAAGTTTTCTAAAATTCCAGATGTGCCTCACAGCTCTCTGAGCAGCCCTGGTAATCTGTCGTTTTTGCCTCAAGTTTCTTTGGTCTTCCAGACTACCCATCAAGTAATTGAGAAACTATAAATAAACGTTAGAAGCAAGCCCCTAATTGATCAACTTTCAGGTTTTCCTTGGTGAGTTTTCTTGAAACTTGGTTCCTGTGTATAATTTGATTCACGCATCTCTGGGGGAAAGACCTCTCCCCTGATCTTTGAGGAGGGTAGCAAATGGCTGCAAAGTCCAGGCAAGGAGGTGGTAGTGCTACATTTGCAGAGCTAACAGTCAAACCTACAAAACGAATACAGTTTCCACGCAAGGAGGAAGGAGGAGGACAAATGGCTGTCAGACCTGTACATTTACCGAATCAACACCAGTCCCAGGCCACAGAGCCCCGTACTTAGATGCTTTGGCCGGATTGCTCGAGTACTGACATAGCCTTGTAAACTGAGACCCTTCAAAGGAGTGAAAAGAAAAAATAAGTTTAGAGGAACGTTTACATAGAGGTTTCCCTTGGGTTGCAGCTGCCCAACTGAATTAGCATCAAACCGTTGCCCTGGAAAAGGGTCATGAGAAGTGGTTTTCCCGGCCTCACACAATGCGCACAGTCAGTATGGAAGCTGCCTGGTTCTCATTTGGAAGAAATTTGCATCTGATCCCACCCTTACCCCCAGACTTCTGCCTTCCTATATGCTTCACTCTATCATTCTGAGGGCCATATATTTGCAAAAAGTGCCTTCACCACTGTCCTTTCTCCTGGTGACGTGGCTGTAAAATTCCTCTCCCTCAATCTTTCTTCCATCCCAAGCAAAACTCCCATTCTTGAGTTCAGACTAGTATCAATAAGGAGTTTGGAGTGAAAACGCTGAGTGAACTAATTCACACTAAATAACAAACAGCTGATAAATTCTTGGAGCGGCCCTAACGCTTTTTATGAATTCAAGTATCTCAGTTATACAATTTCAGGGTGGCATCTCACTCACTAAGGTCAAGGGCAAAAAAAAGTTTTAGCATCGTGAGAGTTACCTCCTTTCCTCTGTGTTGCTTGATCTGATAATAAGGAAATGCTGCATCTGGGAATAGCAGATGGTTAACTCCCCAATATTCAGAGATCTACCATGAGGATAGATAAGAATCATGGAAGCCTCTTTGGACATACTAGAAAGGAAAAGCAAGCCCACACAGGGTCCTAGAATTACTGGTCCTTATCCTGGGTACCCCTGAGATAGGGGTTCTCAGGGATGGGCCTCCCACTCCTATTTATTCTCCTTTCCTCCCTACTCGCAGTGCCAAATGAGGAGCGTCTTTGTCCTTTGGGAGTGCAGGCAGAAGGAGCACCCCTTGATGTTGGAGTTTTGACATTTAAATAATAAATACTAAAACTTACCAAAGGGGCTTCCCTGGTGGCGCAGTGGTTAAGAATCTGCCTGCCAATGCAGGGGACGCAGGTTTGAGCCCTGGTCCAGGAAGATCCCACATGCCACGGAGCAACTAAGTCCGTGCATCACAACTACTGAGCCTGCGCTCTAGAGCCCGCGAGCCACAACTACTGAAGCCCACATGCCTAGAGCCCATGCTCCGCAGCAAGAGAAGCCACCGCAGTGAGAAGCCCGCACACCGCAACCAAGAGTAGCTCCCAATTGCCGTGACTAGAGAAAGTCCCTGCACAGCAACGAAGACCCAGCACAGCCAGAAATAAATAAATTAAAAAGAAGAAAAAAAGAAAACTTACCAAAGGCTTACTACGTGTTGCTACTGCTCTAAATGCTTTAATTCATTCATTTATTCAACAAGTACTTACTGAGTGCATCCTATGTGCCAGTCACTTCTAAATGCTGTTTATTCATTTATTCATCCAGTGCTTGACCTCTTATGTGTCAAGTATTGTTATAAAGGCTTTTCATTCATTTATTCATTCATTCATCCATTCATTCAACAGGTATTTACCGAGAGCCTCCTGTGTGTCAGGCACTGATCTAGGTTCTATAGTGGTGAGCTAAACAAAGCTTCTGCCTTTACAGAGATGATACTTTATTGAGGGTTGCCAGGCGATGCACAAATAAACAAGAAGACATACAGTGTATCAGGTGATTTTAAGTCCTACAGAGAAAAATCAGCTGAGGCAAACGGGCAGAGTGCCAGGTAGATGTTGCTATATTTAGGTCTCATTGATGAGGTGACATTTGAGCGGAGAGCGAGTAAACATGACAAAATCAAGTCACAGGAAACACCAGTACATAGACCCTGGGGTGGGAGTGTGCTTGGCCTACCTGAGAAAAATCAAGGGAGGAAGGGGTGACGGGAACAAGGGGGAGAAGGGTGAACAAGGTCAGATGGAGCTGGGAGGGAAACTAAGCAGGACCTCACAGGCTCTGTTGGACGGGGAACACAGTAGAGCGCTTTGACCACGGGGATGACTTGTTTTAAAAGCATCCTCCAGCTGCTGTGCTGAAAATAGACTAGGGCATCAGGGGGACAATTAAATGGCTAGTGCCAAATCCAGCCTGGAGGGGCTGGTGGCTTGGGCTGTGGCAGTTACACTGGAGGTGGTGAGAAGTGGTCAGTCGCCAGTTATCTCTGAAGGCAGAGCCCATGGGATTCGCTGGTGGACTGGATGTGGTACGTGAGAGGAAGAGGAGAGTCGGAGATGATCCCGAGGATTTTGTCCTGAGCAACTTCAAGGGTAGAGTTGACATTTCCTGAGACAGTGAAAGTGCCAGAGGAGCTGTTTAGAGGGAGAGCTGGAATGGGGAGTTCAGTTCGGGATATTATTAAGTTTGAGATTCTCATGACGATCTCAGTAAAGAACTCGAGGCGGGCATTTCGGTGCTAGTCTGCCATTCCAGGGAGGCGTCCAGACTAAGAATATAAAAGTGGGCGGAGATGGTGTTGAAAAATCACAGACCAGACACATGAACTGAGCGTGTATGAGGTTAGAAGAAAAGTCCCAGCACAGAGTCGTAGGGCACGCCAAGGTCTAGAAAAGGAGGCAGGATCCAGGCGGGAGATGAAGATGTAACCAGTGAGATGGAAGGAAAACCAGAATCAATGGTTATTCTGGAAACCAAGCCAGGAGGCGCTTGAGAAAGAGGGAACCATCAACCACATCAAGTGCTGTGGGTAAGTCAGACCAGATGAGGCATGACTGTTGTCCACTGGGAAGGTGCCCGAGGCCCTAACTGGAGCTGTTCAGAGGAGTGATGCCCCATCAGGGCATGTCAGGAACAACGGTGTTTATATTTAATTCCATGAGGGATATTGTGTTATATTTCTGTTTTACAAATGAGAGAACTGAGGCGCAAGAGAGGGTTGAACACAGCTGGATTGGAAGTCAGACGGTCTACTTGCTCCAGAGGACATGCCCTTCAAAGCCTGGTGTGCTTGGAACTTGAAGGCTCTCAAATCACCAGGGGCAGTGGAGAGCCGGGAGAAGCCTGCTGGCATCTTAGGACAGCAATCACTAGGTAAAGGGGACAAGACAACAGAGAATGTGACCTCACACCCCACACCATCCACCGCTGCCTCAAATTCATCTTAGCTTTTGGAGAGAAATGCTGGCTAAGATGGGCTGGGCAGGAAAGTTACCCTTTGCTTTTTTGATGGTATTTTATGTTTCTAGAAATTAATTCAGAACCCTTAGAGCATGCTAAATCTTCTAATAGTTAGAAGGTGTGGCATTAAATTGTCATTGGTAGAGAAGATGACAGTGGCTAAGGGTTTTTGCTGACATAGGGGTGTCTTGCTGTGAACTCCGTGCTCACCAAAATTTATCTACGAACTGATGGCAGTCTCTGTGTGATGAGCGGCAGCAAACTCGTGTTTTTGCTGGATAAACCTTCTGGTTACAGGTGTGTTTCCATGTCCGGAACAGAATCCGGGGGCCTCTGAGCTAGAACGGGCTTGGAGGAGGGTGAAGGGCAGGTTACTGCACGGGAGCCAGGCTGGAAGGTCAGTGCTCCAGAGCGACCTCGCAGTCGTTCCTGGAGTCGGACCGAGGGAGGGGGCAGCTGGGAATATTCTTCTTCCTGTCGCTCCAGCGTCAGGGCTCCTTTCCTGCGGACCTGGCAGGCTGTCCTCCAGCAGTTACGCTGTAAGCCCTGGTCAGCCAAGTCTCTGTTACGTTTTCTTGGGATTGGGGTGTGATTGGGGTGAAGATGGCAATCTGGATTCTTGTCCTTGACGTTAGGAAGACGACCAGCTGTCTGATGGGTCCCCTGGAGGGGACGCAGAGAGGGGGATGGGAGAGCCCCAAAGACCTGCGTCCCTGTTTCGCGTTTTGAGGCTGGTCTTTCCAGCCGGACAGATGGCAGGGATGGGCTCTAGCTGAAGTCTGCAACGACCTCAGTAAGGCTCTTGTTCTCTTGGTCCTTCCAGAGGATTCTCCATCTTGCTTCTTTGGAGCCAGGGGAAAGCAGGAGCAGCCAGCATGCAGGCGACCATTTACCCTTTCCAGGCCTGGGAGAGAGAAAAGTCAGCTGACCCAAGGCCCTGGGCCCTCAGCTCTCATGAGCTGACATCCGAGAATCAGTGAGTTCTCTTTGGTGTTAAACTTTCTGCATTTTGAACAACTTCAACAGGACCTCCCAGTGCTTACATGGCTTTCTCTTTACAACTGTTTGTTCAACTGTACTTATTTTTCTCTGTGTGTATCACACACACACACACACACACACACACACACACACACACACACACACAGGTAAAGTATCTCTCTTTCCCCCTCATCTCATCTCCTTCAAGAAAAAACCTCTCTGAAAGGGGCCACAGTTTTGCAAATGAATTTTCAAAGCTGAGTACACAAACCATCCTTGTGGTCAAGGTCCGTATAAACTTGGGAGCTTCATTTTAGCCAGTAGGGCACTTCTGGCTAAAGCCAAACTTTCTCTTTTGTCCTTATCTGCAAACTCAAAGTATTACCATTGTCCTAAGGAGGGTCTCAAGCCCCCTTCCCAAGCATCCCAAACCAGAGCACTTTAACATCCCTGATGCACAAGAAAGGGTCACGGTTACGCTCCTAATCCTGTGGTCGTAACACTGAGCTGTAAGTCTAGCCACTGCATTGGCAAAGAAAGAAGCCAAGGCTCAGAGAGGCAGTGAGATTTGCTCTCTATCACACAGCTACTTTGAGGAAAAACCATTTCTCCTCACTCAAAGTGATTTGCTCTTGCGATCATGCCCTCCAAGTAATGCCCGATGGTTCCCATGTACGAATTCAAGTCATGAATCAATGGGAGGGCCAGAAGTTCCAGCCACCAGCATCAAAGGGATGAGAGCTGACATGTACATCCAGGAAATCTGATATGATTGGAGCCATGTGTAGATCTACTTTCTGGGGATAGAGAGAACTGAAAAGCTTGTTTAAACTATTAAGAAAATATGAAGAGAGGGGGAAGATGGCGGAAGAGTAAGACGCGGAGATCACCTTCCTCCCCACAGATAAATTATTAAGAAAATATGAATCTAATCTTTATCTGCAGTAAGCAAGGTGGGGAGCTGGGGAACGGAGTACCAGCGGAAGCTAGGTGATCTGTTTCAAGACAATGTTCCCCTGACAAAATGATGCTTGGAGAGAAATCTCCTGGAAGTATGGAATGTCTTCCTGCTATCTAGAATTCCTTGATTATTTCTTCTAAAAGATATTGGTTCTATGGTAGGTCATAACATATTTGGAACTCAGAACTTAAATATTTGTTGCTTATTCCATGCCCAGGGTCTCAGAGGCACTCGAGTTTTTGTTGAATGAATGCAAGATGATTTGTGCTAAACGAATACACCGATGATACATTTAAATGTTTGAATACTGCTAACTGATGGATTACTCTGAAATTAATAAGTTAAAATATAACAGGAGCGAATGTACAGCCATGTATTCAGTCTCCAAAAAATCAACAGGGACAAGAGGGAGGATATTTGTTTCAACAGCGGTTCAAATGAAACAGACGTGAGAGCTTTAGTTTACAACTTAGTAAGAGCCAGAGGTATGAAGCACGTACTAAAGAGCTGACGTGATGTTAGACTGTTTCCGTAAAAGAATGGTTTCTAGATCAAGGCTGGACATCACTACACTGTGCTCTTAGGTGATTCAACCTTACCTGGTGTTGGTAATTAGTTGTCACATCTTAAGAGGGACATGGATAAACAGATCATGTTCAGAGAATAGAGGGCATGGAGGCTAAAAGTCTAAATGCCATGATTTATTATGCCCTGAAAGAACTCAGAATGTTTGGCTAGAAGAAACAACCAAAAGTGACACCAAGATTGATTAGATGGTACTCTAAAATTCATAAAGATTTTATGACTGTGAAGCAATATCCATCATTTATCACCAAAGGACCTGGGGTAGTTTAAGGTGGCATCCCCAACACGGAAGTCTCTGCTCCCATCGCCTGAAAAGTATTTCAGGTATAAATTAAAATGCTCTATGGGACATTGTTTTCCATAAACAAGGGGTTTAAATTATCCTGACCCACAAATAGAGATCAGCCATATGTTATTTACCCAAATAACCACAGTCTTGTCCGAAATGTTGGATCATTCCACCAACAGATTTTTTTCTATTGCTCCAAAGCATTAATAAGAATTTTGACGGCATTAAAAGCAACAAAATAAATCAATCCTTAATAAATAATATATAAATGCTCCTCTTCTTTCAGCAATGATTTATTAATATCCACTCACAGAGCTGCTTATTCTCTATCAATTCAGGCTTTTAATCACGTGTGAATTTGCCAAACCATATTTCATCCAATTAATATACTTCCATCTGTTTTTAAGGAACTTTAGCAAATGCTTTACTCTATCTATGATTCCCCTTATGTGCTAGGATATGAATGCTGTGAAAGATAATGAGGTTAGTACTGCACGACTTCTTTTGTGAACGCTTAGCTCATTTTCTAAGAAGCTTCACTTCTTTCGCTTAATATTCAATTGTCAGATTGTGCCAAGAAATAACAAGCCTCCTGCTCCCATGTTTGAAATTCATCTTTTTGAAATTTGGAAGATCCTGTTCCCCAAAGAACGTCTCAAAGATTATGACCAGCGTTCTGGGATCTTTCCAGACTCTGTGAGACCTCGTCTGGACTAGGGAGGGGGAAACTGACGTAGAAGAGGCAGCTTCACGGGGGCAGACAGGTTCACTTGGGGGTGATTGCCCGAGGGAGGCACCGTGCTGGCAGGATCCTTAAACCTTGTCCAGTCTCAGCAGGAAGTCATGCCATCACACCACGGCCATGTCTCTCACTGACCCCCATGAGAAGAGTGTTTGTGTGGGAACTCAGTATTTCCGATCTAGAGCTAAGTGTTTTCTTACTATTTCTTTACCATTCTAAGCTTTATTTTCCTTCAATGTATCTTTGTTTTACTTTTTTCATTTTGAAGACTTCGTATTAAGGGATAAAATTGAAGAAAAATTGGAGGTAATTAGTTCTGTTGTTTATTAGTTGTTGTCACTTTGGACAAGTTGCTTAACCCTACTTTATGGTGTTCAGTTTCATTCTTCCTTAGGCTAATCTTATGTAGCAGTGGCTGTCTATACCATCTGTCTTCTTCAGTTCTCTTTCTGTCCATGGAGTCAATCAAAGGCACTTATTACCCTTTTAAAAAATTTTATTGCCACAGCTTATTTTTTTCCCAGTTTTACTGAGATACAGTTGATATATAACATTGTGTTAGTCCAAAGTGTAAAATGTAATGATTTGATGTATGTATATATTGCAACATGACTACCACAATACGTTTAGTTAACATCAGTCACCTCGCACAGATAACAAGTGCTGGGGAGGCTGTGGAGGAAAGGGAACCCTCCTGCACTGCTGGCGGGAATGTAAACTGATACAGCCGCTATGCAGAACAGTATGGAGGTTCCTCAAAAAAACTAAAAATAGAGCTACCATACGATCCAGCAATTCCATTCCTGGGTATTTATCCAAAGGAAACAAAACCGCTACCCTGAAGAGATATCTGCACCCCCATGTTCATAGCAGCACTATTTACAATAGCCAAGACGTGGAAATAACCTAAGTGTCCATCGACAGATGAACAGGTACCCATTTAAAAAATCTTAAAGGTTCCTTTCTTTAAAGATTTCTCCAGACTCACTCAGTCTCATGCGGACAAATCTTTGCTTCTGATTCCGATCCCTACCTCACCCCTTGGACTGGAAACCTTGGGTTGTCCTGCGGTTCCCTGGACACCTTTTGCCAGGGACATGGCTGGGAGTTCCCTGTGCTTTCTGCCTACACTTTCAGGCCAACCACTGTTCACTCCCGTCCTGTCCTTTTCCTGACACCCTCACCCAGGCTGGACAGCACAGCTGCCTAGGACCAGAAGGTCAGAGAGTAGCATTGGACTTGAAAGCAATCACGCAATGAGAGCACTGAAAAACCCATAAGACCTCTAGACAGCTCTATCATTACAAAGTGTTCTCAATCCTAAAAAGCGATATATTTGAAAGCAGCATCAGTTCAAAAAAGCTTTTTTAGGGAAAAAATAATAGATGTGCGCTGGGATTTACAAGGGATTGGATTTCAGAAGTATTTTAATGTTAAAAAAAAAAAAGCGTGTCTTAGGATCGGGGAGACGCAGTGTTCCTAGTGTTCGGCGCCTGCCCACACCTCCTAGTGTAACGGGTTATTGAACAGGTTGGAGTGAAGTCAGGAAAGAGCTTTGTGTTTCCCCACTGCAGTCGCCCTCAAACCCATCCTGTCAGCTCTCCCCCCGAGGCCTTAGTGTCATCTTGGACAGATTTTAGAATGCCCTGGTCCCCTTCAAGCCCCAGAAAATCCAGTATAATCCAAATCAAAACTTCACTCCCTCATCCAACAGAAGCTTCTCCCTTCTCTCCCAGCCCCACCACGGCTCGGGTCAGACCTGCTCCTTCTTCCTGTCCCTCCCCTGCTCTCTCTGCTGCTTCCAGGTCCCCGAGGGCCAGAGCCAGGGCAGGGAAAGGGCTCCGCACTGTGTAATGTTCCCTCTCACTGCGGATTCACATATATTGGAGAATTGCTCTGGCGCCTTCTGTGGGTTGGTTAGGCGAACCTCCCCGCCGCTCTCACCCCGCCATCACTGCCTGCACTCCCTCAGATGCAGGTCAAGGCTGCACAAGGACCCCAGTCCCCGTCGGGGAAGAGGCACTTGGAGATGCGCTCTTAGGAGGCCCCTCGGCTCTTCCTCTCTGCGCTTTGCTACTGGGCTCCCTTCCCCCAAGCCGCCAGCCCTCTTGGCTGTGGTCCTTTCCAAACCGGGGCCTCACAGGTACGCCTCCCTCTGCCCTCTCTCCTCTCCCAATCCTCAGTGGGGGCTTCAGCTAGCACCCTCCTGCAGGCTGCTTCGGTGGTGAGTCAGGCCCCATGTCTCACGACCAGCAAACCCAGGGGCCACATTTCAAGGCCCTCCCAGGAACCCTCCCATGCCCCTCCAGCCACAGCAAGGGGAAGGCTGGAGAGTTTGAGGGGACCAGCCAGCACCTGGCCAGCGAGTGGGCTGTCCATCCCCCTATCCTGAAAATCACTCGAATCTCCGCCGGTGGTACTTTAAGGTGCTTTCATTTATCCTGGAGGCAGTGGGAGGTGGGGGAGGCTTGGGGGAACCACAAGGCTCTCCCTGGTCCTACCATCCTCTCCAAAGAATCCTTCTTCTCTCCTAAAAGCCATGAGGCCCCTCAGATGCCTAGGAGGTTGCTGGGTCGCTTGGCCTCCTCTGTCTAACTTCAAGATGGACGTGGTCAGCCCCTCCCTTTAGAAGGTGGATGGTACTTATCCTCGTCTTTGGTTTGGAGGCTTTGGCAAAAATAGGACACAGGAGGAGTCTCGATCTACCTGTTATTCTTGTTCAACTCAATTTAACAAACTTGGGGGCTTCCCTGGTGGCGCAGTGGTTGGGAGTCCGCCTGCCGATGTAGGGGACACGGGTTCGTGCCCCGGTCCGGGAAGATCCCACGTGCTGCGGAGCGGCTGGGCCCGTGAGCCATGGCCGCTGAGCCTGCGCGTCCGGAGCCTGTGCTCCGCAACGGGAGAGGCCCGCGTACCGCAAAAAAAAAAAAAAAAGAACTGCAGGTTGGAGACTCCCATGACGTTGGGCGAGGTGCCAAGGGAAGACCCTCAAAGAACCCATGAAAGTGCTAAGTAGGAGAAAGAAGCATCCTGACACCAGACTGCAGTGGTCTCAACCAGGTGAGCCCTTTCTTGCTCCCACCCTTTCCTTCACTCTGCTCCTGTTCTGGGGAAGTCTAAATCGAGAAGGAGTTCAAACAGTGATGGAGCCAACAAGCTCCTACACCACCGCCAGCTCCTAATCTTGCATCTGGCCCAAACTGGCAGGAAGAGAGGACTCTAGATTGTATGACAAACTTGAATTCTGGATTGAACTGGACATTTTTATTATCTGAAAAATGGGGCTATTTGTTAATTCCACAGGACCTGCCTGAGATTTCATCCAGGAGCAAAGAAGAAGCATTCAACTTAGCACAGAAAAAACAGTATAATTGCTTTCTGCTTGCACTCTTTTGAGTCCAGCTCATTTAAGGAAACGGTGGCTCAGTAACAAGAAAGCAGAAGCCATATCCTCTAGGGTCTAGATGGTCTGTGGACGCAGAGGATGATTTGGTTGGAGTCTTGGAAGCATGGTCCCCACATTAAGAAGTTCTTATGCATTAGGAACCCACACCCTGAGTGATGGCCCTTTAATCCTTTCTCCTTTTAGTTCCATCCCTATGATTTGATCATCCATCATGAATAAAAGATGCTATAGGACCAGAGGAAATTCCTGTTGCCATCCTCAGGAAGGAGCTGAGCTCAAGGACACGACAGACATAGGAAACATTTGGCAAAAGACTGAACCCAAGGAGTGAGAGGGAAGCTTAGCCTCCAAGGCTGGACACAGGGTCTCTCAGGTGGGAGCACCCTGTCCACAAGCTCAGCACTTCACGATGGCTGAGTGTGGGTGCGGACTGTGGAAGCAAGCAGGTGAGTAAGAGCTCAGGGTGCGGGCCCCCCCAAAAGATGGGGGAAAGTTGAGGGTGAAGAGAGGAAAGGAGGACTGGGTGGAAGAGGAGGTCTGAGGAAGTTAGAAGGGCTCTGGCAGTGGGTTGCCAGACTTAGCAAATAAAAATACAAGACGTCCAGTCCTTTGTTTTATCTGGTCATTCTACTATAGAGACTGTTGGGCCAGGGGAGTGAGAATCAATATCTTTAGCATTTGCTATTGTGGCCAGTGGAGTCATCCAGAATTAAAGAGAGTGAAACAGTGTGGAAATAAGAGTGTTCTCCATGTGAATCAGAGTCAGGGCAAACGTTAGAAATACTAAGATGCATCAACTATCATCACCAGGAAACAGAGTCATATGGAAGACACATTGCTTGCTTTGGTGACGTAAAAGACACTAGAGAGAGCAAATTTACATTACTTGCTTTAAAGAAATACGACTTAAATATAAATGACTCTAAGGGAAGTCACATAACAACGTAAAACATATTAAAAAGTAAGTACCTTCAGCCTTTCATTTAATTTTGAGTCAGATAATTTGGTTAAATGTATTCTTTGTGTGACACATAATTTCAATCTTTTATTTTGCATTTCTGACGATTCAAATTGTGAGAGTATGTTTGGCACAATTAATCTTAATGATATTTACTGTCTGCTGGATATTCCTAAAAGGCAGAACATCTTGAAAAATGTGTTCAAGTTATTTCAAACCACTTTCAGATCCTTGTTAGCAAGCAAGAGCCAAGCTCCCATCAGCAGAGGCTTTTGAAAAACTGACAGACACAGGTCCTGATCTGCTAGCAGTATCAGAAACGTGATTTTCATATCAACAGATTCCTGTGCAAGAGGAGGTCATTGGTGCCACCTAAAGGTCCCCATCACAGGACCTCCCAGCTTCAGTCATGTGATGACAGCCAGCATCAGACATGTTCTTAGAGCAAAATAAAGCTGCTCCCACCTCCCCAATATTTGAAAGTCTAAAGCTCTGGGAGACTGAGCAAAAAGTGCCTCACTTACTCATGCCCTCCCCACACCCACCTCTCAGATGAGCCGTGAGCATCTTGAAAAGTGACGCTGAATATACTTTAGGATAACAGGTAACAGGGCATCGATGAATAAATCAAGAAACCCTTCATGGTGCAAACAGATGCTGCTAGAATTAAGGGGAGAGCTGAAATGCATCTTGCAGATCTAGAGGGAAACTTGAAGCTTAGACAGGTGAAGTGATTCACTCAAGATCAACAAGACAGGGCCAGAGAGGCATTCCTGAGACCTGGACTTTATTCAGTATACTCTTTAAAAATATTTTCTTAAATTTTTCATACAATTTTTAAAGGTTACTTTCCATTTACAGTTGTTACAAAATATTGGCCATATTTGCTGTGTTGTACAATACATATGCTAAGTGAAATAAGTCAGACGGGGAAAGACAAATACTGTCTGATATCACCTATATGTGGAATCTAAAAAATACAACAAACTAAGTGAATATAACAAAAAAGAAGCAGACTCACAGATACAGAGAACAAACTAGTGGTTACCAGTGTGGGGTGGAGGGACAATATAGGGTTGACAGAATGGAAGGTACAAACTATTGGGTGTAAGATAGGCTCAGGGATGTATTGTACAACCCAGGGAATAGAGCCAATGTTTTGTAATCACTGTAAATGGAAAGTAACCTTCAAAAATTGTGTTCAGTTTACTCTTAACATCCAGTTCCAAAGTCCAGACTTTTTTTTTTTTTAATTGGGCTTTCTTAAACTGAAGTGCACCTAGATTTGTGCTGCCATCAGCACCTGAAATCACAAGTTCCTCTGTGAAAAATGTTGTGATGTCTCTAGAAATTTCTCTCACTGGGAGTCCCAAACTGTTAGTTCCTCACGGCCCTAAAGCCGTCATTTTGGGGGCCAAGGTAGGTCTCCCCGATGATTTGCTATGCCCGAATTTGAACTTCGAACATGACCTGGCATTCTTTCCTTCTTTTCAGATTCCACGTGTCCTGAAAACAGAACAGCAGCTCTCGGGAGGTCTGGAGAGCAGGCCTCTCTCAAGTCACCCTCCCGAGGAAGGAAGAGCCCTTCTCTCCCCTTCTGCCTGCAACCCCTGGGGTCCCACGAGGGGCTGGCCTCAGCGCAAAGCACCAATGAGCTGGTGAGTGGCAGCAGGGCCTCTGCTCAGAGAGGTCTGAGCAGCGGGGAAGCTGACGGGTGTGAGGCAGAGTGCATGGAGGTTCACGGAGGAGCAGCAAGCATCTCTCTGATTATAACTGGGGCTGCGTTTGCCTTGTCAAACATTTGAGGCTGGGATCAGAGTATGAAATAAGAGGATTTACAATAGGGCGCTTGCATCTTCGAGGGGAAAGGAGTGTGCAAACTCGAGGCTGCACCGTGGCCTTGGTTTTCTGGGCAGGAGAGTCCCAGGTGGGTGATAATCATCGCTCTCCTGCCCATCCCCATGGTCTCCTGGCTGGTCTTCCCGGCCAGACTCTGGGGGGTAATTTGCTCTTTCACGTTGTGGTGTGAGACGCCTTTCCTTCTGTCTTCCTTTCTTTTATTCCTCATTTTCACAGTTTTACTATCTATTTAAAACTTGTACTCTTTTAGAAAATATAATACAAACGCCTGGAAAAATAGAACCAGTGCAAAAGGAATGCAGCAAAAATTGTCTTCCTTCCACCGCTGTTCCTCCACGAAAGGGCCACCCTCTGGTACCAGTTTCTAGAGTTTACCTTTCCAGAGGTATTACGTGCATTACCAGCAAAGTATCTTTCTATCCACGCGTACGACGCACTTCCTGCCCCTTGCTGTTCCAGGCATACAGTTTCCAAAACACCATCCTGCTTAAAATACGTTCATAGACCCCAGTTTTCTGCAGGATAAAGCCCAACCTCTTACTGGTGCAGAACATCCTTCACATCCGTCTCCCCAAATGAGCACCGCCTTCCAGCCCGGCACCCACCTCCCTCTAGCTCCCTCCGCCTCCCACCCCACTCCAGGTTTTAGCCTCAACAGATCTCCAGGCCTGTGAGTCTCACTCCTGTTAGTTCCTTGGTCTGGAGACACTTGCCTCTTCCCTCTTCTGCTTGTCAAAAATCATTCTCATCTTTAAAGACTCAGTTCCACGTGTCACTTCTGCTGTGAAACCTTCTCCAAGTTTCCCAGTCGTGTTGACTGTTTCACCTGTCTTAGGACGCTCCCTGGAAAGTTCTGCATCCCTCAATGGGTGGTTCATTTATTTCCTGAACATCCTTGAAATGCCAAATGTGCTAAGGAACAGAGAGACCATAAGCCATAACACAGTCTCCACCCTCAAGGAACTTAGGGTCTAGTGGGGAAAAGTAACACACTACAACAGAAGTGTGTGATGAATACAAGGTGTGGGACTACACCAGAAAGGAGCCCTTTCTGCAGACTGGGCCAGGACAGATGAAGAGGCAGAACCGAAGCCGATGCCTGAAGGTCTAGAAGGATGAGCCATAGGAGAAGTTATGGAGAATGAGGAAGTGTTGAAATATCCCCAGGAGCCATGGCACACAAAGAGAAAGGCACGTGCAAACGTTGAGGAGCACCAGAGCTCACGTGACGTCGAAGAGCTCAAACAATATGGCCGGAGGCGAGAGCTGTGAGGACAGAGTCAAGTGACTAACGGGAGACAAAGTCTTCTGCTCCTACACAAACAATTGGCGTAGGAGCAAGTGACTCAACAGGCCTGGCAATTGGAGATTCATAATCTCTGACTTCCAAGTTGCAGCAGCTTCTGAAAGTTTACAGAGGATTTGGGGAAGGCCAAGGGTTGCCACTTACATGATTGCCCTTGAGTACTCCAGTTGTGGGTGTTGACAAGGTGCTGCTAGGAAATTTTTGAAGGTTAGGATTTTGGTGAATTGCTCTGTAAATCCAGGTACATAGTAATAATGCTAAGAGCTGTAGGGATTAGCCTATATTGGGGCCTTACTCTGCTTCCAATGCTATTTTAAGTAATTTACATGTTAGAGGATATTTAATCTCAACTACTTAAGGGGGTGGGTATACCATTACTATCCCCATTTTATAAATGAGGAAACTGAGGTCCTGAAATGAGGTACTGAGGTTCAGAGGCTTTCCCAGTGGTGCAGAACTTGTCCTTGGTGGAGCCAGGATTGAAACCCCAGCAGGCTTGTTGGAGCCCATATTCCTAACCATTAGGCACCATTGCCTCTCCCCAGCTGCAGTGGGCGGGTGTTTGGGTGAGCACACAGCCAGGCCTAGGAACCCAAGGCTCACTGTTCCAGAGACAGAGTCCGAGAAATCAGGGACAGATGGACAGTAGGCAGGGTGTGCATGGTTTGCCCTTGGCACCCTGAGGCAGCCACTGTCTGTAAATAACAACTTGAGGAGTTTAATTAACAGCCCACTTGCAGGAACGCCAAGAACAACAGGAACTCCACGGGTGAATGACTTGGGGGTGAAAATCAGAATTGAGGGGCCGTCTTTGCCATCTTTCAAGCTGCTACGGATAGCAACAGGCAGACTGAACTGGCCAGGTTTTGGCAGGAGAGTGGGCTCCATTAATTACACAGATGGATCATTATGCTCAGAAAAAGCCAGTGGATGGTTTGACGGAGTAACTTCTGCAACCATAAAATCAGGAGAAATGTATGGCTATCTCTGTGCTAAATGGGGCCCTGAAGAGATTAACCTCACAAACAAAGTGCAAACGATATGCATGAATTTCACCAGACGGGGGAAACTCCTCGTGATACTTGATTTCATGCCAGGGATGCTGGATTCAAATGTCAAACGATAGAAAAGTTTTCTTGAAAGATGGCGTAGGGGGCTGTAAGGAGAAGTGCTGGGTTCTGATATGCAGAAGATTGGAATTTGATGTCAATGCCTTGAAGAGATCCCTGAATACATAAGCTTTAAGGAGGGGATGGAGTTGGGGGTTATAGTTATTTTATAGTCACTGTATATGTTCAAAGCACATGCATTTCAATGCCATCAACCCAGCAGTAAGCATTGTGACCTTCTTCCTCTCTCAGGGAAGGGTGAGGGTGAGGCCAGCTGGAGATGGCCGACCAGGCCATTGGCCTCTGGGGCGGCACCCCTTGCCATCTCATTGGCCTTACTCGCTGGCCCCGCGTGTGGGCTGCGCTTCTGCAAGCTGCATGGTCAACGCTTTGACAGGCCGCTGCGGGGAAGCAGGATGAGCACAGCATTTCGGGTGTGAAGACAGGTGTTCGAATCACAACTTTGCTACTGGCTAATGATATGCTGTTGGGTGAGTCAACTGAGCCTCAGTTTATTTGTCGGTGAAATGGGATAATAATCCCCCCACAGAGACGTTGCAAGGATCGAGGTAGTGACATACGAGAGCACCTGTAAGCTGCAAGCACTATGAAACGCTAGCTTCTGTAGTTAGCAGGATTTTGAGGCATAATTTACCTGATAGCCGCCTTCTACCTCTGGTCTTTCACATTCCCCTTTTGTTTTGTTTTGTTTATTTTTGCTATTTTTTGTTGCACTAAAATATACACACATAAAATTTAGCATTGTAACTATCTTTAACTGTACAATTCAGGGATAATAAATACATTCACAATGTTGTACAACCACCACTCTCCATTTCCAGAACTATTTCATCATCCCCCACTGAGACCCTGTACCCATTAAATAATAACTCCCCATTCTCCCCTCTCCTCAGCCCCTTGTAACCTCTATTCCACTTTCTGTCTCTGTGAACTTGCCTATAATACATATTTCATATAAATGGAATCATACAATACTTATCCTTCTATGTCTGGCTTATTTCACTTAGCGTAATGTCCCCAGGGTTTATCCATGTTGTAGCATGCGTCAGAATTTCCTTCCTTTTCCAGGCTAAATAATATTCCATTGTATGGCTAGACCACAGTTTGTTTATATATTCATCTGTCAGTTGTTTCCACCTTTCCACAATTGTGAATAATGTCGCTATGAACATTCAAGTCCAAGTATCTGTTTGAAGTCCTGCTCTCAGTTCTTTTGAGTATATATCTAGGAGTGGAATTGCGGGATCACATGGTCATTCTACGTTTAACTTTTTGAGGAACTGCCAAACTGTTTTCCACAGCAGCTGCACCAGCTTAGATTTCCACCAGCCACGTATGAGGGTGACAATTTCTCCACAGCCTCACCAACACTAGTTATTTTCCTTTTTTAAAAAAATAATAGCCACCTAATGGGTGGACGTGGTAACCCCATTTGCTTTGAAGAGTATCCATTATATCTCCATGTGGTGAGAAACTCCAGAGTAGATAAAGTTGCCTGTCTACCCCTGGAACTCTGGCATATCAGGGAGTATATCTGGCACCATGATTTCTTTTTGCAAAAGTTTTTATCCAAAGCAAAAAGGTTTTCCAGGGAGGAACTGGGAGAAGGGCTTGGAACCATAGTCACTTGACAGTTCTGTCCATCTGTTTATTTATTTATCCATTCATTTTTTCCCTCATTCATTTATTCCACAAATATTTATTGAATGCCTGCTTTGTAGGGAGCAAGGAAAAATTGTGTCGAATTCTGTGGCATCTGGATTTTAGAATCCACAACACCAAAAATTGGAAGGGACCTTAAGAATCCTCTTGTCCAAACACCTACCCCACTCAGCAATGTTTCCTAAAACTAGAGAGATAGGAACAGAGCTCAGGTTTCCAACTGTGATCAGCCAGGAATGATGTAGCCAAAGCCAGGGAGCAAAACTCCTCAAACTTGCAGGAGAATGGGTTTAAAACAAGGGCAAGCATTTGTAGGGAAGCTCTCTTTTCTTACATCTCACTAGAAAGTCCAGTCACTCGATAAGCCAGTGGGATTTGAACACAATAAAACAAGTGTGAAGAAAACCTGATTAGATAAGACTTGAGTACTCACATAGTCCTTATACTGTGATAACCTCCCTCCCAAATGTCACCTACAGGCTGTGTGCAGTGGGGAACACCGCTGACTTGGAATCTGAAAGCCAGGCAGGAGTGTGAATATTTGATTTCAATCCGGGAAAATTCCAGAGGACTAAATTCAGAGGATTTATGAACACCATCATATCCAAACAACTGGATTTCATTGACAAACACAGACTTATTTTGTAGCTCAAACTGGGACATTTCAACTATATTAAAAGGCAGAGATAAAGAGATGGAAACAGTAGATAGAATGCAACTCACAGAGTTTCCACATATATGTTTATTTTACTCTGGTTAATGTTTAAGCCTCAGGAGTCCAAAAATAAATTAGAATCATAGACAGCATCATTTCCTAAAGCCATGCTCTCTTCCTATACACCCTCCAAAGCCACACAAAAGTACAAGATGGACCTCATCTACTCGTAACAGGGAGAGAGCAGCATCTTCTCAGATCCAGGTGGAGCTTTGCAGAAAGAGCTTCCCAATCTTCATGACCATAACCACGGTGTCCAAGATGATAGCTGGAAAATAAGGTTAAATACCATTATACGAAACTTTCCATAACTTGGATGCCAGCAGCCCTAGCTTCCATTCCATCTGTAATCTGGTTTCTCTACCTCATTTAATATTTTACTACCATTTTTATGTACATGGAAGTATTCACAGAAGTAATGAATGTCTTAACTATATATAAGGCCTTTCCACGTAGGACTATTAGGTTCAGCATTATTCTGCTGGGTGCTGCAAGGCCCTTTGTTGTGTCCAGGTTTCTGTGCTTATACAGCAGGATGCCGGAATCTTAAAAGGAAGCAGAAGGCTGAAGACTAAAAGTCACCCTGCAACCCGGTAAGTGACGAGGATTCAGCTGGTGACTGAGTCATCCTTGACCCCCAACCTCCCTGACTGCCTTCTCGTCCGCTCTTCTCGTCCGTGGCTGAGCACCTTGAGGTGCTGGTCCACGCTCCTGACCTGCTTCCTGCTGCAAGCCCACCACCATCTAAAGAGTCACCCCATCCCATCAGCCTAGTCCTGTCTCACATGAATCCCACCGCAGTGGCTCTGCAAGAAAAGCCTAAACTCCTTCAATATGTTTTAGAAAGATTTACATTATCACAAGCATTTCAAAAGAAGGAGCGAGGCATCGGTTAAATTGACCATGAAATTAACCATAATCCTGCCACAAAGTATTCAACTAATTGAGATTACAGTCCCAAAACTAACACAGCATTCAGTGCAGTTACTAAAGGAGGTTATGCAAAATACATGCTATGCAAACACCTATCTAAAAGGAATGGATAAGGAAATTTTTTTAAGTTTTTCTTCCCAGTTTTACTGAGATATAATTGATGTATAACACTGTATTAATTTTAGGTGTACAACATACTGATTTGATATACGTATGTATTAAAAATGATGATCACAATAGGTCTAGTTAACATCCATCACCTCACATAGTTACACTTTTTTCTTGTGATGAGAACTTTTAAGGTCTACTCTCTCAGCAACTGTCAAATATACAGTACAGTGTGGTTAAGTAGTCACCATGCTGTACTTTTTTTTTTTTATAAATTTAGTTATTTATTTTTGGCTGCGTTGGGTCTTCATTGCTGCGTGTGGGCTTTCTCTAGTTGCAGCGAGCAGGGGCTACTCTTAGTTGCGGTGTGCAGGCTTCTCATTGCGGTGGCTTCTCTTGTTGCGGAGCACAGGCTCTAGGCACGTGGGCTCTAGTAGTTGTGGCACGCGGGCTCAGTAGATGTGGTCACAGGCTCTGGAGCGCAGGTTCAGTAGTTGTGGCACACGGGCTTAGTTGCTCTGCGGCACGTGGGATCTTCCCGGACCAGGGCTCGAACCCGTGCCAAGTTCAGGACTGGTAAGATCAATCCTAGTTAACATCTAGATCTGCCGGTTTTCTGTCCCATGGGGCGGATGGGGACCAAATCACCAAACCTTCAGTGAGTGCAAAGTGTAGAGAAACAGTCAATTCTGGGAGGGTCTGAGCATGCGCCCTGCGCTCCCGGAGCGGATGTTTCTGCTGGAGGGAGGAACACTTCGGTACCGCGAGAAACCCCGAGGTTTCCGGGTGTCCTTTTTATCTGCGTAGGCGCTGCTCTTCTTCTGATCCCGTTACTCACGCTGCACTATCACAACGTACTGGCCTCTCTGGGCCTGGGAAACCGAACCTGCTGACCGCCGAAGCACCAAGGCACGTCTTGGAAGTCCACGGGACACTCAGAGAGATGCCTATTTTCTGTCAGGTAAGGGAAACCTTACAATGCAGTGATTCTAGATTCTAGCTCTTGCTTTATGTTTGCGGAGAACTTGCTAAGGGGTGGGGACTTCTTCTGCTCGGTTTGTGCTTCCATGAGGAGGACTTCTTTTAAGGGACTCCCGAGCCTCCATCCACCCATTCCGTCTGGTAAGGAAGTCAATCGTCTGGTCGGGGTATTGGGAGGAGAATCTGAGCCCGCGTGGTTCAGCTTTTCCTGGTTCCTCCTTGTTCCATACCTGCCTGCGGGCAGCTCCCGTCCCTCCTGTGCACCCTGCAGGCAGAGGGGCCCAGCCCTGTGGGAAGACCTGCTGAGCTCTCATCCCTGTGGGTATTTCAGAGGCCAAGTGTTAGCACAACCCGCAGGCTGCAGGTCTACAACCACGCTCGCTAGCCAGCTTATTTGCAATAACGCTGACATGCGGCTCCCCAACTGTTGACTGCCTGTATCTTTCTCTCTATGGATTTTGAATTCAGGCGGAGAAGATGGGTATTATGTGTGAGCCCCTAATTCCCAAACAACTTCAGTGTTCAGAGCTTTACTTGCTTTATTCTAATTGTCCCCCAGTCCAACACATGTGTGTGCCACACAGGTGTGCACGCCTGTACATTTACCCCTCCTGTTTCAGAGTCCCCAGCCCTTGCTCTCTTCGTCTCAAGGTCCCAGGGCATCTAACACATCAGGCTGGGTGTCTGGCCTGAAAGGGCTCCAGGCTTCCTTCCACCGAGGGGGACGTATCACTGACGAGGTGCCACGGGTCACGCCCTGGGTCCAACAGTGTGCGTGTGCCTCTTCCACTGGGTGGACAGATGGCCATCACTAAGCCCATTTTCCGTGGGCGCTCTGGACCACCTCCTCTTTGTCTGGCCTGACCCCCTTTCCCTTCAAGATTCCTGGGGCCGTTTCCCTTAACTTTGACGCCAGGAGCCCTGCTCTGCCCAGCAGGTTTGGCGGGTCAGTTATAAAACACAAGCATTTTCTGGCAGGAAACTAACCACCAAGGAAACAAGACTGTCTCCAAAGTCAGGTCAGCATGAGGTCAAATAAGCACAGCCTGGAATTTTTAAGTATCTGCAGGAGCTGATCCCACAATCTTGTCTCTCTTGTGTGCGAGGGAGGGACGCTGGTGATTTTCTGACAGTTGCCAGAACACGGGGCTCTGTGAGAGATAGGGCGTGAATGCTGAGCACTTCCCTCCAACCATGGTGGTGAGGGAGTATTCATTAATATGTGGTTCCTGACACCACTCACTCAGCTGCCAGAACCCAAGGGGGCCCAGGAAGGGGCTCCAACTGAGGCCTCCTAGCTCTCCGGCTCTGAGAATTGCTGGGGACCTTCCGGATATATTTATTAAAGTTTAAATGGGGTCATGCGGGGTGGCCAGGGGTGTGGGTGATGACACCTCTGGAGTCGTTCATTGCCCAACCAGAGAGACATGCAACAGCCCTGGGGTCTTGCGGAGACAAGCAGGTCCCCACCGAATGGCCTTATGGGACAATTTTGCCACAGTCTGGGCTGGATTATCAGTTTCAGAGATTTGGCCACTTCATTTATCAGGGGAACAGAGGCCTTTCTTAGGGAAGGAAGCACCTTAGCCATGTTCACAGAGCCTGCTGTGATTAAAAATAAGAAATACACATAACACAGGGAATATAGCCAATATTTTATAATAACTCTAAATGGAGTATAGCCTTTAAAAATTGTGAATCACTATATTGTATAGCTGTAACATATATAATATTGTGCAGCAACTATACTTCAAGTAAAAGAAGAGGGAGAAATACACCAGCCACTCAGAGTGGACCACCTGGGTTGGGACAGGCTCTCTGTGATGGGCAGAGTGGACACTCACCCATGATGTTCTCGGCTCTGTGATCAACTGTCCCTTTTTCTGATGGCCGCAGTCTCTTTAGAGATGGAGAAATGTCCCTCAGTCCCCATTGTTACTGAGTCCTGTCAGGCTGGAGGCAGTCTCTCTTAGATGACTTTGTTCTCTTGCTTTGATCCGCTGTGTACAAGTTTAGTAGTTTAACTCATAACATAACAACCTCAATTCCGAATTATCTGGGTTGCTTTGAGACACCTGGTTTATCCCAGCCCCCAGATACGGAGCTGCTCCTGAGGCCGGCCAGCAGCCCTAAATGCTTCGCTGCACACCAACCATGAACACACCATGTTCTTTCCCTGTTCCGTGCACTTACTGATGTAATACCCCCCGTCCGACCTCTGCTTCCTCCAAGGCGCAGCTCAAGACCCACCTCCTGCAGGAAGCCTTTCTTAACCTTCCCGCCCTTGATCATCTCTCATCCTTCGAAGCTCTGTAGTACTTGGAGATAATGGAACATAATTTAGCCCTTAAATGGGTACTGGCTAGTATCAGTCACTCATTTCCTCTGTGCTCTCTTGCACCAACCAGACTCCAGGCCCTTTAAGACTAGAAAATGTATTCCATGTTTCTTCAGCCTCCCCACCATTTCGTGCCCTTCCTGACCACCCATTATTGTCTGAGCCGTGCATTTTGTCACTCAATTCCGTTCCATCTGAATGCATACTCTAGTTTAAGGTATAAGAGTTCTGTCTGCACAGCTGTAGCCAAGGTGGAGTGATATTAGCTCCAGGCCGAGGTGGCACTAGGCACGGCCCTGTGTCAGGGTCTGATCCTCACGGGTCTTAGCCAGTGTTTGTGGTTGCCCTGAAGGTGGCCCCCACCAGTCTCGAGGGGCAGGCTTTCGCATCAGGTCAATCTGCGCGTGAGTCCTGGAGCCGTCACTTACCAGGCGTCCCTCCAGGCAGGACCTCACCTAAGCTTTCTAGATCTCCATTTACTCATCTATAAAATAGGAGAGGGTATATATAATACCTTCCACCACACAGATCTATTTTGGGTCTTAAGTGCCATCATCCCCTGAAAATATGAGGCATGGAGAATAGGAGTTAAGAGCAGGGTTCTTTGGGATCAAATCACATGACCTTGATTGACCAAGAGACTTCACTCCCTAAACTTCACCTGTATAATAGAGATTATCATGTGAACCTCCTGGGCTTCTTGGGGATCATGCCGGACGATATTAGGTACTTGTGTGTTATTATTATTATTGGTAGTAGTCATCGTAAAAAACTGTTAGCACAGTAACTGGCACATGAATAGTGCTCAAAAATTGTATCTCCACCATGCTTGCTTCTGTTTCCCTGAGGTATCAGGCTAGGCCCGCGGGTCCCTTTTTCCACATCTGCCATCCCCACAGCTCAAAGCAGGGCTTGCAGCCTTGTCAAATCTTTACACCATGGCAGTCCTAGGAAAGCAGAGGTGCAGCATCTACTGGTACACAGCGTGCTCTCAGCCCCACCACACCACCTGTGTTATCCTGCACCTCTGACTCCTCCATCCTACAGAAGACTTGCCATAAATTCTTACTGGAGCATGGGACATAACAATTTGTAGCGAAATAAAATCTGCAAGATTCTTCCTGTAGCAGAAATTTTGATGACAGCTCTTTTCCCAAAGGACAGCACAGAGGATGCCTGCTCTAAGGGAAAATAAGCTCTCCAGGAGAGGGGGAGAAAATCCCGTCTCCGCCCTACAGTGCAGGGGACCATCGGCCTTTTCAGGAGCTTGGCGTAGCGCGTTGATTCCTGTGGCTGCAGACTGTTTGATGTGCAGGCTGTCAGCCCACCTCGCTTGTGCGGGATGATCCAGGTAATTCCTCAGAGGAGAGCAACCTTCTACCCTTTGGCCCTGGACTGATGCTAGAAGCCTCTCTGACCTCTCCATCCTTTACCGTGTACAATCCAATCTGGGAATCTACAAATGAAGGCTCAGAGCCCTGGCCAAGTTGAGACGGTTAGTACAGATAACTTCTGAAGTTCTTCCTTCAAGTTTCTGTAGCTTATGGTTTATTACTTAATTTTTATCTCTACCTTTTAGGTAGTGATTTTAACGCAGCTAAACAGGTGCCATAAGTTACTCCTCCAAGGGCCCTGCTTTTCTGTAATGATGGAGAGATCCACTGTATTCCTGCTTAATCAGATTAGCTTAAATTTGTGGACTGCCTCCAGGAAAACGAGAAAGGTGTAAAGATGCAGCATGGCTGTTCTTCATTTTTACTGTAGCTCATTCTCGCCCATTTAATTATTGGATTTCAGGAAATCAGGACCATTTAATTGTGTCAAGGGCACAGCAGGAAAACTGCAAAGAGGCTGTAATGACTCAGGGGGAAGAAGCAAGTCCAGATGTAACAAAGGATGATTCTAGAAGCTTCACCATAGCTAAGCATAATGTGCTACAAACCCAGAAGGAAGGGCTAATTAAAAAAAAGCAACACAGGCATACTTAAAGCCATGATTAGCTGATAGAGGAAGAGAGAGATGAAAAGCATATTAAAACCACTGATAAGTCTAAAATGCATTTACATTTGCCTGTGAAATACAGTCATGCCCAGAAACACATGCCTAGGTCCCCAGAGTCACAGAATAACATCTGTGCCTCCAAGAGACTTCCTGCCATCCAGTAATCCATCACTGACCCAGAATCAGTCTTGGTAGAGGTGTGGAGGGGACTGATTCAAGAGGTCTGGCATGGGGACCCCGTTTAACGGACATCCCAGCATGTTCTCATGCAGCTGGTTGATAGACCACACTTTGAGAAACTCTGGAGGAGATGACTCAGCTGTATGTAATATACACAGAATCTCTAAACATTCGATGCTTTGTATATCTTACACATTCATAGCCTCTGTGTACACATGCAGGGAGAGACTGTACACCATCTGTCTCTACTGTGTATATGGATTCCACATGTGCCTCATTTATAATAGAACAACTGAACTTTATACGTTTTTGGTAAAATCAAATAAATACGGTGTGTAGATTTGAGTATTTTCTTTCGTCACTTGGCCCAGGAGGAGAATTTAATTTATAAAGGATGACCAGAATCACAAACAAAGCTCCACATCTCTGAGAAGTAAATACAGAAGCGTCTGTGTGCCTGGCTTCACGGACCCTTCCAAACAAACTTGGGCGTCTCGTCTTTGCTGTTTTGATGGCTTCTCTTTCCTTTCAGCCTCAAACCTGACGTTTGACCTCCAAAGTCGGATGGCTTATGGAGGCTCCAGCACTGGGAGGTTATTAATGCTGTGCTCTGCCCTGTCCTGCCCAAGTGGAAATGAATTTGTTTCTCCTCTGTTAATCAGACACCTTCAGGGATGGCAAATAGGCTTCAGCTCATGGGCTGTTGATGAACATTTTGTAGAGGCAGAGCAAAGGCGTGAGTAGAGAAGGATTCTGGGGTTCTATATGGGCTCCAAATGAAAGCGTGTGACATGCGCCCCTATTGGGTAGGACGGGGTCACTTTTGTATCACCTATGTGCCAATCCAGTCCTGGGTTTTATCTTTCAAAGACCTGCTCTTTGTATAGATAATTTTAGAACTGTAAGAGAACTTGGAGGTTTGATAGCTAAGGGGTAGATCTTCCATCTCCTGACTCCACATTTCACGTTCCTCCCAATAACCCAGTTCAAAAACATTATCCACACTAGTGGGGCTGGGACTGTGGGAGGCTGCAAAATGTCATTGCCCTCCCATTCTTCCAGGCCGCCTGTTCCTATTCATAGCAGAGGCCTCTTCTGTGTAATCCAGACAGGCTTTGCTAACAGTAGTGATTTGGGGTTGAAGATGAGACAATAGTAATCCCAAACCAGGTTGCTGGGGGTTCTTGGGGAGGACATGCCTTCACTACGCCAGTGTCCTTATTTCCAAGTGGCATTTTCAAGCCTTCCATAGCTTATCAATGATGCCCTGCACTTGTTGAATTCCCCCACTTCCTTTTATTTTTTTCCCCAGCTTTATTGAAATATATTTGACATATAGAATTGCATATATTTGAACTATACAATGTGATGTGATATATTTATACATTGTGGAATATCGTCACAGTCGTTACCATATCCATCACTTCATAGTTACCTTTCTTGTATGTGGTAAGATCACTTAAGATTTATTGTTTTAGCAAATTTCAAGTATACTCTACAGTATTATTAACTGTAATCACTACGCTGGACATTAGATCTTCAGGAGCTGTTCATCTTATACCTGGAAGTTTGTACCTCTGAACAACATCCCCATTTCCTCCATCCCTCAGCCCCCCTGGTAACCACCACTCTACTCTTTGGTTCTATGCATTGACCTTTTCTCTCTCTCTCTTTTTTTTTTTTTTGAATTCCACATACAAGTGATACCATACAGTATTTGTCTTTCTCTGTTTTGCTTATTTCGCTTAGCATAATGCCTTCTAGCTTCATTCATGTGTCACAAATGGCAGGATTTCCTTTTTAAGGCTGAATAATATTCTGTTGTGTATATATCACACCACATTTTCTATATCTGTTCATCCAGAGATACATACTTAAGTTGTTTTTATACCTTGGCCATTGTAAGTAAGGCTGCAGTGAACATTAGAGCGCAGATATCTCAAGATAGTGATTTTGTTTTCTTTGGCTATATACCCAGCAGTGAGGTTGCTGAATCATACGACAGTTTTATTGTTAATTTTTTGAGGAACCTCCAAACTGTTTTCCCTAATGGCTGTACCGATTTATGTTCCCACTGGCTGTGTACCAGGGTTCCCTTTTCTCTACATCCTCACTACAGGTTCATTATCTCTTGTCTTTTTGATGATAGCCATCCAGACAGCTGTGAGGTGACGTCTCGTTGTGGTTTTGGTTTGCATTTCCCTGATGATTAGTGGTGTTGAGCACCTTTTCATGTGCCTGTTGGCCATCTGTATATCTTCTTTGGAAAAATGTCTACTCAGGACCTTTGCCCATTTAAAAATCAGATTATTTATTTATTTATTTTGCTGTTGAGTTGTATGTGTTCCCTATATATTTTAGATATTGACCACTTATCAGATACATGGCTTGCAAATATTTTCGCCCATTCCTTAGGTAGCCTTTTCATTTTATGGATTGTTTTCTTGGCTGTGCAGAAGCTTTTTAGTTTGATGTAGTCCCAGTTGTTTATTTTTTGCTTTGTTGCCTATACTTTTGGTATCATATTCAAAAAATCTTTGCCAAGACCACTGTCAGGGAGCTCTTTCTGTATGTTTTCCTCTAGGCATTTTATAAGGTCTTTTTTTCAGATCTTATATTTAAGTCTTGAGTGCACTTCAAGTTCATTTTTGTGAATAATGTAAATGACATTCTCAAGCCTTTGGTAGCTTATCAGAGATTCCTGCTCTAGTTGGAGTCTTCCATGTCCTAACCCAATATATAGACTTGTCAAGTTTGCTGATTCTAAAGCTATATATATTCATGAACTGACACAGGACAGTTCTTACCCCCTGTGAAGTGCATGACTCTTCCTCCAATTGGCAAGCATTCCAGTGGACACAGTTTTCTCTAGAGATCTTGCTGTACACTCTTATGATTCATTGGCTTTATTTATTTATTTTTTTTGATGGGGCATGGGGGAGGAGTGGAAAGAGAGATTGAATTAACTGGAAATAAATATTATGCCTCCCCAGCATGTAACTTCTTTGATTTCAGACAGGATGATTTAGGGACCAGAATCTAGGTGATAGGAGAGGAGGATAGCACCAAAGACAGAAAGGGAGGGAAGCTAGTTATAAGTGGATGAAGCTGAAAGTGGAAGTGAGTTATTGAGTTATACTGTTCTCATAGCATTTCTGTTGTATTGTTTTATTATAAAGAAGGATCAATAAAAAGATGATGCTCAAAGCTTTTAATTCAGTAAAACTCATCTAGGGCTAAATACAGCTGACAGTAGCCTGACATTTTAAAATGCAAACACTGAGCTCAGATTTATTACTTTTTATGTTATGAATATTTAAATCATCCTATCCCAATGGAATCATTTTACACAGAGCTAATGCACTTACATTTTTAATTAAATGAGTAGTCAACCATTAAAAATAAAATATTGATATGAATTATTAGACTAGTTGATTGGGGAAGAAAGTTATCGTGCAAGCAATCAGATTTAAGAAAAATGAATAGAAATCAAACAACCCAATTATTGTGGCCCTTGGCCTTAAGGAAGACTGTGTCCAATATATCTCATTTCTTTATGAACAATCACTTTTCAAAATGTCTAAAGAAAATTATCACTGCAAATCCAGCCTCAGGTAGGAAGTCTGAGAGGACAGTACTTAACTGCTTAGTTCCTGCTACAAAATATGGGGGTAGTAATTTTCTTTGTATATCAGGCCCCAAACTTGCTTCTTCCTGGATTCTACATAAAATACAACAACTGAAACTGAAGGTGTCTCCCCTGAATTTCAAGACACCTGTGCTCTTATCAAAGTGTGAACAAATGTAGTTTTTAAAGTCACTCGATTAAAGACCTTTTGAAGTCTTATATTTTAAGTGGAAGAATCATGGTTTAAAGCAAACCCTGGCATTCCTTCTTCTAAGTATGGTTTTCTGTGTTTGATCACCTTTAAGTGAGGCATACCTTTCTTTGAGTTGAACGTTGAGGCTTAACTAATGAAGACTGCTTATTTCTCAAATTCCTTTTAGCAGCTGAGCCTACAAATGGACGAGCACAGTTTTCCCTGCCATCTCACATTTTCTGTGGGCCAATGAATTCTCAGTTTCTGTTCGGTTAGGAGTAAGTTGATAAACAGAAACAGCATTCAAGAGAAGTTTGGGCTCAGATTTCTTGCTGAATCCCTCTCACTTGGCTGTTTGATGAGCAAGATGTGTATTGAATCAACAAAACAGGAGACGGTAGCATGGTAGGTGCCGGGTGATCAAAGAGCAAGAAAGGAACGGAGGAGGTGAATTGTTGGCGTTTTGGGGACGGGAAAGAGAAACTTGAGGAGTGCGTGAATTGAGGATATTGGAAAGCAAACGGTGCAAGTGATGCACTGGGGAGGGAAGGGGAGGGGCTCGGGACGCTGTGGGGAAGAGGCAGGGATGGGGGAAGCAGAAACAGTGGACCAAGTGAGGAAGGCAAGCTCAGGAGCTTGGCGCTTAGTGTCATTTAGATCAGTGCTTCTCACACACACAGATCCCCTGGGCACCTTCTTAAAAGGCAGATCTGAGTCAGCCGGTCTGGGGCAGGCCTGCAATTCTGCATTTCTACCAAGTTCCCAGAAGGTGCCGAGGCTGCTTGTCCAGACTGAGCTTTGAGTACCAAGATTAGAGGACCCCAGTTTCACCTCTTGGAACGTGAAGAATGTCGGTACCAATGAACGAATTATTTATTAAGTGCCTGTTATGTACCTAGCAATCTGCTAAGTGCTCTGAAGAGTCGAAAAGAAGATAAGAACCCCCTTGGGCAGGAGTTTAGAGTCTTAAAGAGGAGGTAAGAGATGCAAACACAAAACCACAGGAGTGAAACAGAGGAAGCTGTGTAGGCTGGACTGGGCCGGAAGTCTTCAGGAAGAGAGGGGTCTGTCTAAGCACAGTGGGGCTAAGACCGGCGGACGAGGGGGAGTGACCTGAAACTGAAATGCACGCAGAGGGGAGAGTGTGGAAGGCAGGTGCAAAGAACTGCAGAGATCTCTCCGCCGCGGGGCCTTAGTACTCACTCCACTGCAGCCATGGCGACCATCTCCAGGCTTGAAAAGGCTAAGTGCTGGGGTCTGGGGCTGAGTTCAGCTGAAAAGGCAGGTGTGCCTCCCGAGCCCCCGGCACATTACTGGACACAGTAATGGTCATTCAGTGACCGACTCGTGGTCAGAGCCCTCAGCAGACCACAGAGCACCTACCCTGCGTGTACTAATATGCCCTGCCATAGGCACTGGGATCCAAAGATGGGGAAAAAATGGATTCCCACTGTAATAGTGGGAGAAAACCATAAATGATGGTGGTGGCATGGCAATCTGTTGAAGATACTCAGTTCTTTTTTCTTTTTTTTAACATTTGTTTGTTTATTTTTATTTTTGTAGATTAGGAAGGTATGTGGTTTTAAACTTTTATTGGAGTAGAGGTGATGCACAATGTTGTGCTGGTTTCAGGCGTCCAGCTGAAGATAGCCAGCTCTTATTGCTTTTGCTGCTGATGGGACCCCAATATTAAATTACGTTTTCCTGTCACTGTCTTCTTAGAAGAACAACCACGAGTTTATATTAGGTTTCAGATGCTCTGAGTTTCGAAGTCTTGCAGAAGCAGATGTCAGCTGACTTTGGGAGGATCTGACCCTCTCTAGGTTCAGCTGGAGTTGACCAAGGAGGAAGACCTCCCATGCCCACGAGTTACGTGGGTCACACGTTGTAATGCGATGACACACATAGGCATCTCGATAACTCAGCTGGGGCCAGGAGCAATGAATGTGCCTGGGAAAGAGGGAAGGCTTCACCCAGAAGGACGTTTGGCCTCGAAGGATGAGGGGGAAGATGCCAGCAGCTCCAGCAGAGCCTTGGTGAAATCCCTACGTTAAGAGAATGATGTGCCGTGGATTTTAGTTGACACGGGAGCCCATGGGGGGCTGTGACAGGAGGTGAGCACGGGGAGGCAGGCTGAGAGAGATCTTCAGAACCCAGCAGGAGAGTGTAGACCTCATCCTTGTTGCGTAGTGGTGGTAGCCATGACTTTTCCATCTTGCTTGGATAAGATGTGATTGTCTACACATAACACTGCAACTGGCTTTGGACCATGGTCAAGAAAACAATGATATATTTGCCTAAACTACCTTTAGAATTATTTATTTTCACTCAGCTATTTCCTGAATTATGTGGGGATCAAAGCGTAAACTGGGACAAGTGAACCACAGGTCACTTGCTGCGCAATTTTTGTCAAGGAGCAACTTCCCTGAGCCTCAGTTTTCCCTGCTGCACTAGGAGGAATGCTCGTTTTGGGACAAGAACCGTAGCAGTTCTCCAGGTGATAGTTCCTGAGTGCTTCCTGTGTGCCAGTCGCATGCTTTATCCACCTAATCCCCAACCGCCCCACAAGATGGGTTCTGTTCTCAGTGCTTATACAGTTAAAGAAACTAAGGCTCAAAGCATTTAAGTCATTGACCTAAGGACACAGGTGCCTGGGGTCAGACAGGTATTCTTGAAGCTAATTGACAGTTCCTGACAAAGATCTGGATTCTGATGTTTCCTGGGAGGAGGTTTGGGTTGGTAGGTGTTGCTTCAGGAAAGTTTGAAAAACTTCAAGCATTCTCATGATTAAAATGAATAGGATATTCTTTAAGAGAAAAAAATGGTGATGTTGTCATAAAATGTGCTTGAAAAATTAAGACCAAAACAGTATCAAGAGTCTTAAACTGTTCATACTCTTCAATTTAGTTAACTTATTTCTAGGAATGCATTTTAAAGAAATAATCTGAAATTCACAGAGATAAGTGACAGAGATGTTCATCTCAGTATTACTAATAAAAATTTTTTTTTCAAGAATGTAACTAGAAACAACCTAACTGGTCAACCTCAGGGCAATGCCCACAACATAGAATATTTTGAAATCATTAAAATATTATTTATAAAGGACTTCAATAACATGAGGAAATGTTTATTATACCTTCGTTAAGTGGAAAAAAGGATGAAATAGCATGATCTCAACAATGGAGAATATAGCAAAATGCTACCAATTTCTCTGTGGGGGGAGGGGTAGGATTGTAGGATTAAGAATAATTTTACCGGCTTCCCTGGTGGCTCAGTGGTTAAGAATCCACCTGCCAATGCAGGGGACACAGGTTTGAGCCTTGGTCCGGGAAGATCCCACATGCCGCGGAGCAACTAAGCCCGTGCGCCATAACTACTGAGCCTGTGTGCTACAACTACTGAAGCCTGCGCACCTAGAGCCCGTGCTCCACAACAAGAGAAGCCACCTCAATGAGAAGCCCGTGCGCCACAAGAAAGAGTAGCCCCCGCTCGCCGCAACTAGAGAAAGCCTGTGCGCAGCAACGAAGACCCAACGCAACCAAAAATAAAATAAGTAAATAAATTTTTAAAAAAAGAAAAAGATTTTTTTTAAAAAGAGAATAATTTTACCTTTTCTCTAAACTTATCATAGTTTTCCAAATTTTATGCAAGAAAATGAGTTCCATGTATAATTAAGAAAAAACTTTTTAAAAAAAGCGTAGAAAATCTTGTCTAAATAGCAAAGATGATCCCTAATGATATACCTGTTTTATTTCCCACTTGGAGCTGTCATCCCACCTTGACATAAAGTTGTATATTATGACTCAGAATGGACAAGATAGGTTCAGTAACACTGAACTGGCTGTGAAGGTCCTTTCCAGAGTTGTGGCTAAGAAAAGGAACCCACTCAGTCTCCTGAGGTGAAAGATTTGGAGTCTGGGCTCATGAGACAGCAGAAGTAGCTTTACAGTGCCGATGGATGGGATGGGAGAGAGGGCCAGGCAACAGACTTGCCTTTAGAATGAAGTGATTCTGACTTCAGAAATAAAAGACCTCAAAGAACCACAGCGTTTGATCTGAGAGGAACCTCAGAGATGAACCAGTCAACCCCTCATTTTTTCCCAGCTTCATTGAAATGTAATTGACATATAACATTATGTAAGTGTAAGGTGTACAAAGTGTGGATTTGGTACATTTGTGTATTGCAAAATGATTAACAGCATAGCGTTAGCTAACACCTTGTGGTATTGTGATTTATAAGAGAAATATTTCATATATTTGGTCATTCACATTCTCATGTGTATTTGGTCTTTATCCACAGTTCCTGGCTCACAGCTCCCAAAACCCCTGGAATTTTCTGCCAGGACAATTGGGCTTATGTTAATGAAGGTGACTTTTGGACCTCACCCCAGAACGGAGGCTGCCTGCCAGGAGAACCGCTTCCGTAATTAGAGGGTTGGAGCTTACAGTTGCGCCCCCTAATTTCTGGGACTGGAGGTTGAAGGTTGAATCGGTTGTCATTGGCCAGTGCTTTAGTCAATTATGACTATGCAAGGAAGCCTCTGTAAAAACCCCAAAGGACAGCTTTCTGGCTCTTTTTCCCAGAGCTTCCACGTTGGGGAATCAGATGCTTGCCTCTATGCTGGGCCCCATGCTTCATGAGAACAGAAGGACCTTGCCCTATGTATCTCTTCATCTGACTGTTGACTCGTACCCCTTGATATCCTTTTTAAATAAATCAGTAGTATAGTGAACTCAAGGGTTTTCCTGAGTCCTGTGAGCCATTCTAGAAAATTAATGGAACGCAAGGAGTAGGTTGTGAGAACCTCCAACTTACATCCAGTGGATCAGCAGGAAGCACAGGTTAAAACCCGGGTGTCTCACTAGCATCTGAAGTGGAGGATGGTCTCGTGGGGCTGAGCCTCTTACCTGTGGAGTCTGATTCTGTCTCTCGGCAGATAATGTCAGAATTGGGTTGCATTCGCAGACACCCTGCTGGCATCTGAGAATTGCTTGTTGGTGTGGGGAAGCCTCCACACAAGTTGAAATTGGGTCTGGGACCCCTTTTTCATCTCCATCCCATCAATCCTCTCATTTTATAGAGGAGGCAACTGAGTCCAAGAAGACCGGGTGACTCTGTTAAGGACACAGAGTGAGTGACCCAGACTCCCAGCCCTTAGTCTGTTTCGTTTTTATCATCCAGGGCTGCCTCCCAAGCTTTGAAATAAATGTCTGAGTGCTTTAAATAGGCATCTGCAATTTATTATTATAGTGGAAACTCTGAGTCTCCGCTGTCCCTCTACGTGATCCTAGCAACAAGCCCAGTGCCAGATGAAATCACACTCCTGACTCTTGGCCATTGTAGCTCTGAACTGGTTAGATCCCGGATGTCCCCGACCAGAATGGCAACAACTCCAGAAGCTGGACCCCTGGCAGAGTGTCTGTCCAGGATCTGGGGTGGGAATCTGCATTTCTGGAATTCATGAAGCTGAAAGGGAGAAGAGTGTCCAACAAATGTGCCATTTTCAAACCGGATACAGCACCCTGGTATAGTGGGAATATTCTTAGCCCACTTTGTGGAAATTGCTCACCTCTTTCTTGGCCTTGGACATCAACCCGAGGAGATGGCTGCCCTTAGAGCAGTGAGGAGAGGTTGGGGTCCATGATGGTAGCAAGGGGCCCCAAGAAGCAAAACAAACCTCTAGACACAATGCAGAAAATCCTATTAGGATGAAGATGTTGGATGTGGCAGTCATGGAGGAAATGGGCTGGGGTGCAATATAGCTGGGGGCAAAGGGAAACCCCCTCTGACTGGGAGAAATGGGGGCTACTCCTTACTCCTTTCAGAGAAGCTTTCTAAGCTGGGGATGTACCTGGGACTGGTGGTCTCAACGTCAGACTCTTGCGCTTTCTGCACTGAACCTTGCTCAGCCCTGTCTGGTTCCTGGATGTGTCCGCTTCATTCTAGTTCTCTTGGTACCTGGGATCCCAAAGAACCAGTAGTAATGCCTGGGAGCAGTGTCACATTGGTGGAGACAGCAACACAGGTGTGTCAATGACAAGCAAAAGGAAAAATTATCAGGGAGTGGGGAGGAGCCTCTTCCAAGGTTTGAGGTACAGAGTGACCTACTGGTGACAATAGAGGTCATCAATGTTTCCAGCGACCACAAGGAAAAGTTGCCAGTTTCCCTACATTTTGTCTGAGGAAGGGAAAGGAGCGGAGACACTCAGCATTGCCATAGCTTTACTAGAAAATACTTATAATATCACCTAACAGGGATCTGTAAGACTTTGTTAAAGTAAAAAAAAAAATTAATTCAGTATGTATTACATGGCACACATTATAAGGGCTATATGCTGGAGGATTCAGGTATAAGAAAAGATAACGTTTCTGTCCTTGTGGGGCTTTCAATCCAAGGAGAGACAAAGAGTGAACCATTATTTGTAAGTGCAGCAGGTAGCACAATGGGGAAGCACAGTGTACTCCATATACCGTATGTGAACTTAGGGGAGGATCCAGATTAAATGTTATGTTATGCATAAAGTTCTTAGCATGGTCTCTAGCACATAGTAGGTGCTCAGTAAATTGTAGCTGTTATTTTTGTTATTACTGATGGCCTGAAAAACATGCTTCAGGGGGGCAGCGCCCTTTTTGGGATTTGTGAATTGGGAAGGAAGGTCTGTGATCCATTCATTCATTCATGTGTCCATTTTTTTTTTAAAGCTTTTTTTAAAAATTAATTTATTTTTTGGCTGTGTTGGGTCTTCGGTTCTGTGCGAGGGCTTTCTCTAGTTGCGGCAAGTGGGGAACACTCTTCATCGCAGTACGCGGGCCTCTCACTATCACGGCCTCTCTTGTTTCGGAGCACAGGCTCCAGACGCGCAGGCTCAGTAGTTGTGGCTCATGGGCCTAGTTGCTCCGTGGCATGTGAGATCTTCCCAGACCAGGGCTCGAACCCGTGTCCCCTGCATTGGCAGGCAGATTCTCAACCACTGCGCTACCAGGGAAGCCCCCCATTTGTTCATTTTATATACTTTTTTTTTTTTGGTTATATGTTTAAGGGACTGTACTCAGTGAGAGAGATACAAAAACACAAAGAGTCCCTACCCTGATGGGGCTCCGATTCTAATTCGTTTAATTATAAACAGATAATTTCAAAATGATGCAGTAAGAAACATATTATTTAACACAAAGACCAGTGATTTCAACTCTGCCTCTCAGGGTCCAAAAAGTCTTCACTGAATAAAGGATGGGAGTTTAGTCTAGAAGGTTGTTCTCCGGGTCCCTTGTCTTATTACCAGTCCTTTCCTGGGTGTGGGGGAGGTACGGTGATTTTTATTTTTGTGTTCTTCTTTCCGTATTTGATCTCTCAGTTCAACCACATGATGAATTGCCAAAAAAAAAGAAAAATGTTGGCAAGGGTTCATTGCCGGGCTACCTAATTTTTGGCCGTCAGAAAAGATTCTGAATAGGCATGTTTCTTATAGAGGAATTCACTTCCAAATTAACCATAAAATGGTCCATCTCCACAAGGACTAGGGCACAAAACAAATTGTGACTTGATTAAAGTCTCAAAGAATACTATCTGTGTGTCAAAGAAGGTGAGCCATTTCTGCCTCTGGATCCCTGTGACAGTCATCAAATGTTTGCAAGAAAACAAAGCCTGGCCTCACAGAGGCCATTTCCCAACCTGTCACCCTCAGGCAGGTCCTGCCCTCTGCATCTCACTGCCCGGGCACCTCGGCATCCTGGTGGCAGAGATTGTCTAAAATGTCTCACAAAGGGGTGAAGGAAAAAAGAATGAACACTTAAAGCAGATTCCAAAGTCCTCCTCAGACAAGGAATATGATGATCTTTTTGTCCCTTTAAGCCTGTGTGTGGCTGAGAGATGAAGACGCGTCCCACTCTGCAGCCTCTTCTCTGCCAGGAGTTGGGGCCAAGTCAAGAGTAAAGGCCAGACTCGGCATGTTGACTGATGATGGCCCAGAGAAGCACGGGGCCATCTGATGCTTCCTGCGGCGCCTGCGTCTACCCCTCAGGAGAGGAACGGCGGAGCTGAGTCTGCCAGGCCCACGCCCTTGGAGAGCTCTCTCGTCTCTGACCCTGGGGGCCACCCCACACAGCAGAAGGCAAAGTTAGTTCCTGCTAACTCTGACTGGTGCCGCAAGCCACTGGAGAAAGAGCCCAGCTTGCCTCTTTCTAATTCCTGTTCAGCACGAGCAAGCAAGCTAACACAGCTCTGGCAAAATAGGAAAAGGGGAAGGAAGAAAGCTGAGGACGACCGCTCTTCCCAAGCCCTCTCCCTTCCACCCCAGGACCTGTACCTTCAGAGAGGAGGCCTGTTCTCCAGCAAGAGGAGATGAGATGGGCAATGGTTTTTTGGTTTTTTTTTGTCGTCGTCGTTTGTTTCAGATCACAAGAAAACTCAGGACGGCTGATCCAACTGTGAATTTCATAAACCAATAAATCTGATTTTTCATAATGCCCACACTCCAAGCCAGAGAAAGAAGAATCTGCTCTAGAAAGCCTGTCTCTGCAAAGAAATGCAAAGAATGCTTAAAGAATGCAAGGTTTCCACCATAAGATGCTCTGAAAGTCAGAAGCAGGAAAAGTAAAGACAGAGGAAACAACCCTTGGTAAACACTTGCCTACCTGGACTGCTTCCTTTTTCAGTAAAGCCCTGGATTGTGGTTGCAACCTGAAAAGTAGTGAGCATTCCCCTCTATTTGTTCCCACCTTTGGCTTAACCGGTCCCGGAGGGGTAAAGGCTCAGAGATAAAAGTGCAGGCAAGTTCCCTCTGGAAATTCCACACAGAGCAGGAAAAGCTGGTAGATTCCGGAAGGATTTTCATCAAGATGCTAACTGGGGTTACTTCCAAGTTGTAGGATTTTATGGAGTTTTCCTTTGCTTTTTATATATATTTTTTCTGGATTGTTGGAAATTTTTCTTTATAATAAAGCTGAGCTATGTTATAATCAGGAGTGAAATAAAATATACATATGACTGTGGCTTTCTCCTCTTTCCAGAGACCTCAGTAAAATAAAAACATGGGAATAAACTCAAGATAATTGAAGGAGACAGTGGGGAAGAGACCCCAACACATTTTCAGAAGAAGTAAAGAGAATAAAAGCCCGTTGATGGATAATCAGATCCCAGAAGCCATATTCCAGAATGGTGGTGGGGAGAGCAGGGTGAAGATGCAGAGATAATTCCAGTTGTCTGCAGATGCGCTGGCCGTGGGTGGCACCCCCACGCTCTCCTCACCCACCCCTGAGTTTGGAGCCTTTGCAGCCAAATTCCAGTAAAAATCAGAGCTCCGTTTTCTACAGTTGTTGACATCTTTCTGAGAATTAGGGCTTCCAGACCCCTGGGTAACCACCCCCCAGCTTTTGACACTTGAGAGCCTCCCAGCCAGACTCCTCTTTCATCTCAACCAGAGTGAAGCCTGCCTGTCAATAAGCCCCATAAAATGGTGGCTGGTGGACATTACCACAGGAGGGTAATGAATGGAGTCCATTTAACCCGAGGGCACAGCACATGCTTCCTGACATTGGGCCCATAGTATAATCCTAGCTCAGCGCCTGCCTCAGTGTTTATGGAAAGAACTGATTTGATGTATTAACGATTTCAGGTTATATTAAAGTTTATTGGTTTCCCACCTTGACAATCAGACTAATAGAACACAGAAGACTTAAATATGGTTATAGGAAAAAATGTAATATGATCAACCTTGACAGTGTAAAAACAAATTCCAGCTGTCAGAAAATGAGAAGGGTATGAGAGGAAGGCTGGAGCGCTCATATCTTAATCTAATTTCGTTGGGAATCAAGAGGTACTTTCTATGTAAATCAGTGTAGCCATTATGGAAAATAGTTTGGAGCTTCCTCAAAAAATCAAAAATTGAACTACCATACATACGATCCAGCAATCCCACTTCTGGGTATATATCCCAAGAAAATGTAAACAGGATCTCATAGAGATATCTGCTGTCCCATGTTCATTGCAGCATTATTTACAATAGACAAGGAAACAAGCTAAGTATCCATCAGTGGATGAATGGATAAAGAAGATTTGGTGTATATATACCAGAAACAATTCTTGCGAGTGACAAGAACATTTCAGTACAATATTTTCAGGTGGTTGGGTAGTTTGATATCCTATGATTTCCAGTTTTCACCGCTGAACTTTCAAATCTCATTAAAACAGCTCTTTGTTGCTATTTGCTGAGTTAAATCAGCAGTGATTTCAGCAAATAAGCAGACATAACAGGTTTCCTCTTGGCAGGTAGAATCAGGGACCTCCAAAATATACGATTGAGAAAGTGATTTCGGAGCTAAAGCATTGGGGGTGTCTTTATAAGGATTGTCTTCTGTCAATCCTAACTGCTCTTTACAAGTGAATGACTTTGAAACAAAAAGAAGGCCCTTTCTTCTCCCCCATGGTTGCAGTGTTTACGCTGGCAGGAGTCTGGGACAGGTGGATTGCTCAGGAGTTTGGAAATGTCTGTTAGTGTCTGATGCAACCTGGTGTCCTGAAGAACATTAATTAAAAAAAAAAAGTTCTGGACTAGAACATATCTCTCTTAGTTTTAGAGCGACCTTCAGTCCCTTAGCTGGCCCTTACCTAGGGCTTTAAAAGTTTTTCTTAGCATCTGGCCGGAAGAATCGTGAGGAAATTCTGCAGTGGCTCCGCATTTACTGCGTGTCCCCTAGGGGCAAGGGACCGTGTTGGCGCTGCTGAGTCAGACAGAGTCCCTCCCTCAAGTGGCTCTCAGTCTAATGATAGAAGTAGGACAGGGCTCTGAAAACTATAATTCAAGGTCCAAAGAAAGAAGGGCCATGAGAAACACAGGCAGGGACAAGTCCTGCAAAAGGAGCTAAAGATCAATGTGCTCTTTCTGATGAGACGTGCGGATTTGCAACGCGCATGTGTCCAAGGACCCCTGTGACAGTGATGGAGGGAGGACAGGCAGCGCTGGGGTGAGCTGGGAAGACGGTGACTTGTATGAGGGCGCAGGGGGAGACTTACCTTAGGTTTGAGTCACTGTGGAAACAGGAACTGTAAGGACAAATCAGAGGCAGATGTAAGGAGAGCCAGACCTTCCCCCTGCCGACCCCCTCAGTGCTGTGGCCCTCCTTCCTGACCTTGACCCCCTGCCTTTGGTCTTCGTGTGCATCCCGAGAGTTCTCAGGCTCTACTTCGTCAGCGGGGTCCCACTCCTGCCGGTCTTCATCCTTGTCCCCTCCCTGTCCCCCTCCCGAGAAGCCAGGTCTCTGCCTAGTAAGGACTCAATTACTGAATGACCCAAATGACTAAGTTGGTAATGACTGCACAGATTTGCCTCTTAGCAGCCTGTCTCTAAGAGTGCACCCCGTCACTCCACAGCAGGCCGGCAGAAAGATGTTTGAGGACTTGTAAGGGCAGAAGAGCCCTGAAAAGTCACCCAGTCCAGCCTCCGACCATTTGTATCCAGACTTCTGAAATCATCCCCCACAGACAGCCAGGCAGCCCCCAGCCCCTCCTGCCTGTGGGTGACTCAGAGACCCATCCCATGTGTGTCTTTATTTCGGGTCTCTACCTTGGTAGCATTCAAGGGGATTAAGGTCTGAATTAAGGGCACAAAGCCCCTCTTCAGCCCTGGGGCAGCAGAGCAGGGGAGGGAGAGGAGGAGGGTCCCAGCATCGGGGAGATCTGGCCCAGGA